ACTAACTAAAAGAAAACTTTAAAACTGTAAAGTAAAAATTACTACTGATTTAATGCCTGAATATGTTCTTAACATGGGTTTTGTCTTTTGAGGTATTAAAATATTTTTACAGTCATGGACATAAAGAAATTGGATTTTAAATTTTCTCAGCTTACATTTCATTTTTCTAATGCACCAAGGTTGATGTTTTATTTAAATATGAACTTTCCTGCCAACTATCTGACAGTACATAGAAGCTGAGCCTTATGAGCCCTGGCCCCACACAGAGAATTCTGAATCTTTGCTTTGGACACTTTAGAACACTCTCTACTCTCTGAAATATGTAGAATTAGACTACTGAGCAGCCTATATAAATTGCACCATTTGCTCCAGTCATTTTTGTTATTACATAAGTACATTTTCCATTTTTAAGGAAGAGGATATGTATAAAGGAAAGAAAGACATTATTTGAACACATTTATTGGAAAGTATTACTATTATATTGAGAAAACAGATACTAAGATCACGATAAGATTATTTTAGAAAACAGGAAAAATTAGGATAATGAGAATACAGGACAGGTGAAGAAATCTGTAAAGTGAAATAGTCTTTGAACATTTCTTTGTGTACTACATAGGAGTTGATGTTCAATATTTAATAAATCTAATGAGAAAAAAATAATTATAACAAATATTGATACCAGATATTCTGTTAAGTGCTTTACATGTAATTTCTCATCTTCACACAGAAGATGTATTGTGACATAAATATTATTTATAGAAAAAAATATTCAATTTTAAACCAACTTGGTGTTATGTTGTGGCACAAAAGTCAAACATGAAACCATGCACAATCATGATCAGAATTTAACCTCAAGCTGCAGGTACTCTTCTATCTGCCACCCTGTCTCAAATCCATGCATGTGAAGAAGCATTACAAGTTGAGTTTCCCTAATCTAAAAATGTGAAATCAACATGCTGCAAAATCCAAAACTTTTTTGACGACTGGCATGAGGCTTCAAGTGAAAAATTCCACACACGACCTCATGTGACTAGCAGCAGTCAAGACATAGGCCCACTAAAAAACAATATTTTAAAATTTAACTTCATGCTATGTATGCAACATAAATGAATTTCATGTATAGACTATAGATTTGGGTCACACTGCTAAGATATCTCACTATGTATAAGCAAATATTCTGAATTTTTAAAAATAAAAAATATGAAACAATTCAAAATCCACATCCTAAGCTTTTCAAATAAGGGGTACCCAACTTGAATTTTTGGGGAAGGTACTAGATATTAAACCCAGAGCCTCACACATGCGAGGCAAGCTCTTTACCACTTAGCTACATCCTCACCCCTTTAATTTTTACTTCAAGATGGGGTCTTGCTAAATTTCCCAGGTTAGCCTTAAACTTGCAATTCTCCTGTCTCAGTTTTCCAAGTAGCTGTAATTACAGGTATGTGTCACCATGCCTGGCTTCTGAATTTCATTTTTACAGAAGCAGACCTGGGGCTCAGAGAGAAAAAAGATACATAAAGAGATGACAATCTTAACTATAACCCTAATTTGGCTAAACCCATATTCTATATGTTTTTCATTTTGGCGATGGACAACAACTGCAGTATGCAGTAAATCAAAGGCCGAGATTTGGTGATTCTAGTTGCTGAAATTCAAACAGCGAAATGGAACAGGAAAGGATTCAGTTAAAGGTAAAAAAAAAAATTTGGCTGGACAAAGGCTGTCGCCAGTGGGAACAGGAAATTCAAGTTTCCCTGGGCAAATGTACCCTAGAATGATGAAATGCAGTAATTAAGGCATAGATTTACAAACCTAATATTGTAAATGCGTTAATAGACTACTTGAATCCAGAGGAAGGGTAAGTCTGGAACAAAGAAAGTACTAGTCCACAAACTAGAGAATAAAAACACAGAACACATCGTCTCAAGGCAAAAACAGTTTCTTTGTTAAATAGTAAACACCTTCACAATACTCCTAAGTATAGAAAATCTATCTTATTAAACTTTCTATCTCTAATGTGCAGGATAAGTTTTGCAATGGTCAATAATTGATAAGTACAAGCAAATGAACTTTCAGACAGACTTCAAGTAAACAGAAATATATGCTGATCAATATGCAACACAGGGAGCATCAAAATAGGGCATAATCTATCCACCTTCTGTGTCTACCAAAACGGCTGGCACATAGTAGACCTTGAATAAAGATTTGTTTACCAAGATGAATAATAACCTATTTTAAAAACACATAGGTTATACAAATTAATGAAAAGACAACCAATTAGTTATATATTGAATGAATTATCTACTAAACACTCATACCAATGAAAGTAATAGGCATGCTACCTGGGCTGATCATAAGTTTCTTTTAAATAGAGTCTTATTTAATCACTAAATTGCGCATTCTAGACTTGAACTCTGAATACACCAGACTCAGCATCCCACAATGCAGGGACTTCAGATATGTGCCAACACACCTGGCCAAATCATCATATGTTAACAGGTTAAATATAAAGAACAAACTGGGCCAGGGATTTAGCTCAGTGGTGCCACCACCTGCCTCACAAAGCATAAGGGCCTGAGTTCAATCCCCAGTACCAAAATAAATAAATAAATAAATAACCAACAAACTGTTTTTCCTCCTCAGTTACAAGTTGCACTGCAATCATAAAATAATGAAATAGATTGATGAATGGTCTAACCACATGCAGAGAGCCTTAATATTTCACTATTCAAATTAACAAGCCCTTTGTACTAAGTAACTGTTGGTGTCATTTCATTTCTAAAATTTGTCAGTCATCACTAACAATCAGTAACTCTGTGAATTTGGTGTGTGAATACTTTTGTTGACATATGTATCCTTTTCTTACAAGGGGCAACCAGTACATAAAGCAGATATTCAAGTCTTCTTCCTTATCTCCACAGTAATTATTTAAGAGAATAACTTACAGCTTCTGCTGTAAGTCTCCATTTTTTTTAGGTTCAATAAATCAGTTTGTCATTTTATTTTCACATAGTACGAAGAAAGTGACAAAAAACATTTCTCTCAGATTTTATTTTCTCCTCTACATTCAAGAAAGATATATGGTTGATGCTAAGTGAAATAAAAATAGTGTGCCATAGCATGCAATAATGATCATCATTTTATTGATTAACTTTATGTAATGTGATGATTTGGTCTGATTAATATTACAGGCATCATACTGTAGAAATTATGAAACAACTTAATTTACTATAATTAAAAGCATGATGTCAACTCATTTTTAGATTGCATATAGGCAAAGTAAAGCATAGGTTATAAACTATAATGAGCAGAATTTAAAACCAGCATACATTAAATTCTAGAATAAATTCTAATATGCGAAAGTTTAAGAGGCAGCATGAAGAAACAATGTTCTTTATAAAGATTATCCTCCAGTAGCAGTACATACAAAAATTTATACATTCTCTGAGAACTCAAAGATTTTAAAAGCTATTTGGATTCAAAATTGTTGGGTAGTCTTTTTTGGCCAGTGATAATCCTGGAAAATATTTCACTACTATTATATTATTGGATATACTGCAAACATTTATAGGTACACAGTACTATCTATACATAAATTTAAGCAAATATTTATTATGTACTTATTGTGCACAAAAACAGTATTAGGTATTACAGTTCATAAAAAAAAAATCCGGCCTTAAAAAACTCATAGGCAGAAAATCAGCAATTATGTTCATTATGATAACATATGACAAAATTCTGCACTTGACCAAACTTTAGTTGGGTTCCTGAACCTTCTCTTAGTCCCATCTGTGCACTTTCTTGTGAAATTCAGATTTAGCAGGAAACATGCTAAATCAGTTTAGCGAGAACCTCCTACTCTCAATTCCATCTGATCACCTTCGGTATCCGAATAATTTCCTCATTTTCTACAAAATCCCCAAGGTGATGACTGATTGGTCTGACCTGTCTTCAGAAAGAATTGCATTAGGTAAATTTAGCCAATAAATTTAATCCTTTTGCCTGATTTTTGTAATTTCTAATTTATTAATTCCAAAAATAATCTGAGTTATTAATTCTTATTAGCCCACGGTGTACTGGGAATTAAACTCTTAACTATGAGCTACCAAGGGTGAATAGTTAGTCAGGGTAAAGTGTTATTCAATGAAATACTACTCAGCCATAAAGAAGGATCAACTATTCATCTGTAGGAAAATGGAGGCACCTTGAGACAATAATGTTGTGAAATAAATCAGAAAAACAAGCTTGCATATGACATAATTTTTTAATATCAGAAGCCCAAAATATAAATAAATTTAAAAGCATAAGAAAAGATAATAAGGAAACACAGAGATAGATATTTTGCAAAAGTGCAGGGGACCAAGAGATGGACGGGGGGGGGGATAAAAATAGAAAGAATTACTATATTACATGATGATATAATCATTATTTACTGCTAACATGTACTAATAAAATATTTTTCTTTTAAAGAAAGCGTGAAAAGTTCTTGATGAAAGGACTTAGCAGGGCTTTTGGCTAAAACCAGATTTCATAAAGAAAGGATCTACTTACAAGCAAGTTCTGATATGGAATCTATTTTTTCCTTTTGAAGAAGAAAAGTGTATGGAGGAAGTAAAGAGTGAATGTGACTTAGTTAAATCTCTTGTGAACATTCTGCTGATAAACAAGCCATTGGCATTTGTAAGTGGGAGAGACCTTACCTATAGGATGCTTTTGGCAGCATTTACCTGACAATTTAGGATTGCTATGGCAAAACAATTAGAAAGCTCAAGGCAAGGAGCTCTGCCATGAACCGTTTAAACTGTTACCAAGTATAAACTGGAAATCTTTCATAATTGAAACAGCTTTCTCTATATGAGTGATGGAGCTATGGTTAGAGACCACACATTAATCTAAGAGAAAATCCTGACACAAGATGAGACCTGTTGGTGGTCTTGCACTTCCTTTGTTTTACTTACAGCTTATGTTTACCTGTATCCTTGAAATTATTAATAAAATTTGAACCAAAGTACTTTCTTTAATTCATATAAGTTTTATTTCACAATACTAAAGTTTTAAAAATATTTTATAATATTTAGTATACATATTTACAGTGAGTAGTAGAATACATAACAATTTTGGTATCTTATTAGTCCACGGAATATACAAGCCAAATGCGCAACTGTTCTTCTAATTGGGAAAAAAAAAATTTGATGAAATCAGTACCTGGTATGGACTTATCAGTTTCACTCATGGTCTCTTTCACTTTAAATTCTTTAAAATTGAAGAATTTTGAACATAAAGAAACATTTCTGCAAGTGAGAGCTGTGCTATGAATGGTGTAAATACAATTATTCCTTACTGATTCCTGACTAACTGTATTCTGGCACTGTTGAGCTGCACTCAGAAATGCACGGGAGGGGATACTTCAGAGGCTTCAAAATGCCTCTGCACAGTTATCACAAAACACAACTCTTCCAACAAGAAAAGAATATTTTTAAACATTATTCATTTACGATGCATCACATTTTCTTAAACAGGACCAGCTCTTAGTTCTCCTCGTCTTAGGTTTTGCTGTAGTCAAGTGTTGCTGACTGCTGCTGGGATATCTCACACGATGTGCTGGTGTCTTGGTAGCATCAATTCAATTCTGAAATGCTTCGATATACACATTCCATACAAATCAGCATCCTGTTTTCTTCTGCAACATAAAAATCTTTTCTGACTTTAATACCCTTTTATTAATTTTTTACTTTTTAATATATTGCTCAGTGATATATTCTTTTTTGTTTTGATTTTAGTTCACAACTATGAGACTAGAGATCATGATAATTAATTTTTTAATCTACATTTAATATTAATTTGATATTATAATGGGATAAAATGGCAATTTTAACAGTTAAAATTTAAAAATTTTAAAATTTGTGTAAAAGTTATCAGAAATATATTTGAATATATGTTATACATTTTTAATATTTCTTATTCAAATCTTCCTGCAAGGTTTTCAATGCCCTCAATATATTTGTTTATTCAACATATGGTTCTGAACTGCTGTACTAAATCAGAGAGTACTGTATGCTTTGAATCAGATACTAATTTGAAAGAGTCAATCCACTGAATTAACTTGGATTTTAATTTGTGGAATAAGTACAATGTAATAGCTACCCTACATGATAAACACTATAGTAGTAGGAAGCATAAAGAGCCATAAAATCTCAAAAGAGAGATTTAATTCAATAGGAACTAAGGAATCCTTCAAAAAGAAAATGACACTTTGAGCAGAACTTGAAGATTCACCTTTTGAAAAGAAAACAACTTACTTTTTAAAAAAAGACAGGTATTTTTATGTTAATTCAAGTTTGTTTTCTTTCTTTTTATCTTTTGTATGGTACACATTGACCAACATGTATATTTAATAAGTTAAAGTGTATTTAATAAATTACTTTTTAAAATTTTCATTTTTAGGACATGAAAAGAAGATATTGGAGAGCTGAAATGAATTCTATAACAGGGAGCAGAGCATCTAACTTCCACATACAAGTTAATATTCAGCAGTAATGATCATCATTATCTACTAAAACTTGACATAGCTATACACATATATAGATTCATGTTATGTATATATATAGAGAGAGAGATCGATATATAGAGTTTTATATAGTATATGAAAGAAAATTGGCAAACTTTTTTAAAGGTAAATTGTTTTCAGCTCTAAATATATTCTGCAACAACATGCAACAAACCCCCCAAAATTATGAATTAGTTTTAATAAATTTAAAAATACACAATCTTGAATAGACACAACTTTTATTGTCTCCTAGCCTACTTGCAGTCTTGTTTTTCCCACTCACCATCTGAATTATCACATGCACTACAGAATTCTGACAACTTCACCTGTCAGTTTCTCCAGTATCCATGTTTGAATCATGTAGAGTTCAACTCATCAATTAACTGGGAGTATACTAATTGCAACTTGTTTCAAGTGTGATATTTATAGATACTGCTAAAATATTCAGTACAGAGTTGTCATTCCATGAAAGGTCAGAGACGCCCTTGCTAAATTTCGTATCATTCACATACATTTCTCTGGATACTAAAAACATAAAACTTGGGAAATAGAAGAAATGTTAAAAAGCATTTACTTATAGCACAAGTTTTGTAGATTGGCATACTCAGAATAAATATACCTGAATCAAATGTTAAAACTTTTAGTTATTCCATTTTGACCATTTCATTCTATCTTTTCATAATATACTGAATTTTCACAACTTTCAAAAAGTTAACCACATACAGATTCTTGGAATGCCATAATAATCTATGAAAGTTATACCTATTAGAGGAGTACCAGAGGAGTCCCTAACTACAGTTAGTTAATTGTCTTTGCCTGGGAGTGATTGTGTGTATTTATTTATTTTCAGTGACTTCAGCCACACATACTAACATGTCTGTGACCACTTTCCATGCAGGAGAGCGACACAAATGATGTGCAGGTGCCAAATGGTGAAGAGCTACTATAGGCATCACCCTTAGTAAGGAAAATTAAACTTGTCAGCTTATAGATGTTATTTTCTGCAAATAGTCCCAGACTCATGTTTCTCGTAATTAAGTAAAATCTAGGAAGCATCAGTTTCTTGTAGAAAAATGCATGTTTAGCCAGCAAGATAGAGTTGATAGAGCCTCTTATGAATGTATCTTGAACATTGTTATCTAATATTATAAGGAGGAGGCCTAGAGTTCATCCACAAAATTATCTATTATGGGGCACGCTGTATGGTGCCAGAAGGATTCCATGAAAAGGCACATTCTTTCACAGGGAAATGTATTATTTCAGAGTCACATTATCAGACAAAGGAAATATTAACTAACAGACCGAATAATCTGTAATGTTTATTTATATAATATAAATAATAAAGTTGCACTAATTATAAAGACAATTGACCTTCTGAATAGCTAAAATATCTGTAAACAGGTATATCTAAGTTAAATCAGTTACCATGTTGTCAAACAAATAAAGGAGAGCTCCAGGGAATAACACAGACCCCATTAAGATACAGCAGAATTAAAAATCTATCATGTTTTTCTGCTTTTCATAAACTGAATATGTGTACACTAGATTCTTGAAATATTCTTTGTGTGGAGGCTCTGAAAACTAGTTTATCCTTCTCAGTAATAATTAATGAGAACAACAACCTTTTTTTCATCCTTATCCTTTAAATTTATTAACTCAGGTGGGTCTATTGAGTCCTGACCTTCCTGGCTCCTTTTAGGGATTCCCTATCGCCTAAAGCATTCTTGCAGTTCTATCTGATCTGTCAACAGCTTTTAATACCAGCATTTTGGAGGATTCTGTTATCCTGTGAAATTTAATCTCACTTATTTAAGCTTGCAGAAAGTACTGGAGGGAATTATTAGCAGATTTTCCCTCATCTTCTTAGAGGATAGTGCTGAATGATTGGCTGGTTTCCCTGAGGACCCACAGCTGAGAAGCACTAGTTTGTCAGTAGCATCCTATTTAGCATGTGTGTGAGGCCACAAGGGAGCCTGGAAGACATTTGGAATCAGAATTGCATCAAGATGCTGATGATGCCTCCCTATCTTCATTTCATCAAGCATATATCCTTTAGCATTAATGCTTTCTTAACTAAGATGGAAAATGCCTCTGAACAGCACACTGCTTATGACTCTAATTAGACAGCTTGAAGTTAAGTTGATGATACATTAAAGCAGTGGACAAGCAGCCTCAGCACCATCAGGGAACTTGTTAAAAATGCAAATTTTCAAGCCCACCCAGACCTACTGAACCAGAAACTGTGAAGACAGGGCCAGCAGTCTGTGCTTACCAAGCAATGAAATTTGAAAACCTCTGAATTAGAGAAACAAGATGTTTGATCACTTCAAGGTTTGTCGGGCTGTGCCTCTTTTTGTATATTAAAACATTACTGGATCCAGTCACATTGTTCTTGGTTCCTAACTATGAAACACATAGTAGGCTCAAACTATTCCATGCTGAGTGTACCTGGCCTCTGGAGTAAGTCCTGTTACTAAAGCTTAAGAAAAATTTTATTGTTCTTTATTTTCTTCTGTCTAAGAATAAGAATATGATAGTTTTAGATATATACATAGTGACTTGCCTAATGGTGAGGTAATTTACTAATGGGCAAATCATTTTATTTTCAAATTCTTCCCAAGATTCCAAGAGAGTTGAACAATATACATATTTGAGAAAAAACTCTAGATGTCCCTGTTCCTCATTCTTCATTAATTTTAGAGAAACCAAGTGTGGGTGAAGCATGTATGTGTTTGGAGAACAAAGCATAGAAGAAACTAGAGAAATATAAAGGAATTGGGTACAATATTAAATTGTTCATATTGGTTAAAATATGCCTTACATTAGCTGGGCATACTGGCACATGCCTATAATCCCAAGTACTTAGAGGTTAACACAGGAGGATTACAAATTCAAGTTCAGCTTGGGAAACATAGCAAGACATTGTCTCAAAATGAAATTTAAAAAGCACAGGGAATATGGCTCAGTGGAAGAGTTCTTGCCTAATATATCTGAGGCTGTGGGTCTGATCTCTAGTACTCCCCAAGAAAGTGACTCAGAACGTAACTTCTCAAAATGTGTATTTTGAAGCAGATACATGATTTTTGAATTCCATACTTTTGAATTATTAGTTTCATGAGTGTTAAGCACTGAATTATTATACTGGACCCTATTTGAAGGATTACAAAGCCAAGTAATGTTTATAACATTAATAGTGCAAGCTCTACAAACACTGGAAATCTGTACTCCTAAAAAAATTAAATACCAGCCGATACAGGCTGGAAATATTTGGCCACTCAGATTATGCATTATTTAATATTCCTTCTGTTTTATCTAAAATTAGCAAGTGAATCATCAAGGTCTACATATGTACCATTTGTCTAAACTGTAAAGTGAATACTAGAAGATCTGGATGCTTATTCTTTACAGAAAACATTAATTCTACAATTATTTGTTGAACTTTATATATGGCACTCACTCTGATAAGCAAAAGAGAACATAAAAGTGATGAAGATAGGTGATTATGGCCTTTAATGTCACAGATGTCAAGGTCAAGTAGTTTTAAAAACAGAAAAAGTTCTCTTTCTTGTAAACTATTAATAAGAAACATTCAAGCATTTGTTCCTTTGGTTTTAATTAAGACACAGATCAACTTGAGTTCTACAGAAGTTCTGCTATATGCAGGCAATCTGTTACACCAACAACTCACTCATGTTGTCTTCCCAGCACTTTGTTAGCAGCTATTCAGCCCACTGAGCTCTCCAATTCCACGAAGTTATGCCAAGACTCCGACCCTTTCTTTCCAGCAATCCAGTCACACCGACCAGCTTTTTAATGGGCTGCTAACTAGTCTCCTTACTTCTGACACTACTGTACCTTCCATAGTCAAAACACTAGGGAGTACTGATCTTAAAATTTAACTCAGCTCTTGGTGAATCCTACCTCAAAACAGTCTCATGGTTTCCTCTTTTACTGAGAACATAAGGGAACTAAAGGCATGATAAAACACCTCCAAAATTTATCACAATCTGCAACATACTCCTTTCTCCCAGTGTTGAACCATACTGACTTTCCCCCTATTCATACATTTCTCACTTAAGGGTGAATGCAGTTAGCTAGACCTATAATGTGCTTTTTCTTGGATGCCTACTTTCTTTTGCCATGTTTTTCCACCCCAATACACACACACACACACACATACACACACACACACACACACATTTTACTTCCACATTAATACAGATCATCAAAGAACTAATTAACTTTCAATATACTGTTAATGTGACAATTCATTTGGGTGTCTTCCCTAAGCAGAAAGTCCATGAGGTTACAAAATTCTATGAAATATTAATAAAATTACCTAAAATAATGGCTACTACATTAGTGGCTACTACTAACAGGTAGCCAATCAATGTAGGGTGAATAAATATATAAGCAACTACTTCTCTTTTCTTAAGTAATTATCCAGTTGCAGTTTTTGTATCTTCAATGTAAGTCAGAAGTAACAGCTACCATTCAATTCTAGTTCCCTTTGCTAGTAGAAGATAACTGTGGTATGAAGAATGAAATAAATTGATATTGCCAAAGTATCTTCCACTTCCAACCCTCAAAGATCAGACTTTTGTAATGAAAATTTTTCTGACACAGAAATCAGATGAACAAGATTTAAAATATTTAGTTCAAAACATATTTTACAACTACTTATTCTTTTCCAGGTCTAGTGCTTTGCACAGAGATATAAAGATATAAAATTCATTACTCTCTTCTTTTAATTTCAGCAAGTCACCTAATTCAAATATGGCTGTTTTCTTTTTTTATACAATGACATGCCTGTACTCATTAAAGCCTAAAAATGCATGCCAGGGGAAGAAATTCCTATGACTATAAGACCACGATGGAGGTTTTTTGGAAAGCCTAAAAGGGTAGACTAGATGGAAAAAAATTCAGGGAATAAAAATGATATTTGAAACTCAGCCATGAACCAGTGATGGCTCTGATAATTTAGTGAAATTAATTTGTAATGTGATTAATCTACATGTGACAAATTACCTATTGACTGTACTTGTAATTCTTGCCTGGTGTAGAGGCTCCAAACAAGTTCACAGGCATTCTAAACCAAATCAAATCATAATACCAATTTGAATAAAATGAGTAATTTATCTTTCTATAAATACATTTTGTTCTTGTTCACAGAACTAATATCCTTTATAAGGCATTATCTTTCTCTGAAGCAGTAAAATTTGAGAGGTCCATGGAACATCTAACCAGCTTGGGTGATGCCTCACCTAACAGCGGTCACCAGAATGAAATGATTGTAAATTATTTTTACTAACTTAACTAATTATTGAATCTGAATAATGCTCATATTAGAATGCTTTAAATATATACAGTAATCATATTATATTTGCTGCACAGTAGATTAAATTTACTATATGACCAAAGTCTGTACAGAGGTAGATACAGATACATTATATACAAACATTCTTTTTTTTTTTTTTTTTTGGTACCAGGGATTGAACTCGGGTCCTTGTGCTTGCGGAGCAGGCGGTGGAACCACTGAGCTAAATCCCCGGCCCTACAAACATTCTTATACATACATTATTGCACTATGTATACGAGGTGATATATTATCTATATAAATTTCCATGATGTAAATTTGACTCATGGAAAATCTCAAATGTCTTTATGACATTCTTTTAATTTCTGTATGTTTTGTGAAAAACACCTATTGTTTAGGATGTGGAAGACTTAGCATATTCAATTGTTACTACTTACATGGAATATATTTCAAAAATATTAATCCTAAACAAAAATGCACTTTTTGACTAAAGTAAACATCTCATTTTGTCCAACTCAATATTATACATTTTCTTTTACACAGAAGGTCTGAATTAAAAAAAAAAAAACTTCTTGTCCTGAAATTTCAAAAATTTGCCTTTGACAATTTCAAAAACAGTCTAATTATTTAAATGAGAGGACTGCTTACAAAAATCTGCAGGACTACAAATCCATATTTCCTGAAAGCTCCATTTTACCTCTTCGGGGACAGCTCTGATATTAACAAAGCCTTTTCTGAAGACGATGGACACGCGGCGGGCTCCACAACGTAGAGCGGATGTGGCACAGTCAAAGGCAGTGTCTCCAGCTCCGAGTACAATCACTGCTCCCCGTATCGATGGCAATGGAGAGTGACAGGCGCACATTCCTGAATGATGAAAGGAAAACCCCATTTTCAAGTAGAGAAACCATTTCTGCATGACAGCTCAAAAGATACTTGTACTCAAAGCAGTGTAAAATTGCATCTTGCAGTTTTCCAGGATGGAGTGTCACTATCAAATTATTCTGCTTCATTGAAAGACAGTTTTATTCTCATTTTAAAAATATGCTCATATATGTAATTTCATAGTCAGTACCTTTAGCTTCTTTTCTTCTTCTAGAAGGTTAGCTACATTTGAAGACCTTTTTAGGTCATAATAAACTGGAATGAACCTATTAAAATTATCTTTGTGAAAGTTGTGATAAATATTTTACCTTTATGTCATTCATTTCTATGTTTTAGAAGAAAAAGTGATTCTCATGATCTGGGTTAATAATTTCAACATTTCATTAAAATATTTTATTTATATATTACACAATTTCTAAGCTACACTTCTACTACATATATATGTAATAAACTTTTAAAATTAACATTTTGAGAAAGTGTCCTTACATAACTGAAGAGTTTCTGAGCATTATTTTCTTGCAAAAGCTAAAATAAAGCTTTCTCACTTCTACTGCTTTTCTTTGGCTTTGTCAGTAAAATTGGGCAATAAAGAAATATGACTTTCTAAGTGTCCATTTCTTAAGCACCTATATGAAATTTTGATGTCCACATGAAGAACTTTGTATAAAAGGGAAATGGAGGTATTCTCTATGTAACAGTACCATATTATCAGATTAAATAAAACTGTTGCTAAAATAAATTACTATAATTTTTAAAATGACTCCATAGATAGGCTTGTAATCTCAGTAAGTGTAATCATTTTGCTTGGAAGAGTTTGTATTTAGAATTAGACAATTGGCACTCTGTGATTCACATATACTCCATGCACTTCGACTCTCCTATGAAACGCTGGCAAATGCATAAGTATCTAGTACTCTGGGGAGGAGGAAAGTGAAGATGGCATGTATCTTTAGCTGTCAACTTCTTGTCTTTTTAAAGTTTGAGAGAAAATTTAAGTTTTAATAATTTCCACATGTAATTGGATGTAGGAATAGCTGTGTATCAGAATTCTTCAAAAACACACATTTAGAGGCTCCAGATTCTATTAAAAAAAATACTCCAGCCTCTATAACTAAGACAATGACTTTAGACAAAGCAAAACCTAACAAAGTCTCATCTTTAGATTATTTTCTCTGAGCATATGAATTAATAGAATATCTATCAATGTATTTTACTTTATCTTCATAAAATTAACGCTCCAATAGAGATCTTGATCTTTCTGTTGCATAGACAAAAATTATGTAAGATAGATGAAGATTCATCCTGTTTTAAAATAGTTCCCAAAATGAAGATCCGACAGTTTCATTCAAGAATATCTCCCAGTATTCACTAAAGTCTTTTTATTTGAATTTATTTTTATGATGAAATATATATATCATAAAAATTCCTTATCATGATGCTTTCTTGTGAGACTGAACAAACATAATTCTGGCAACTTGTAATGTCAGTCTTTTTAGAAAACTTGTTGGTCCAATCTACTCAAGTATCTATCTGAGATGTGATCAATGTCCTCCTAATCTTGAATGTAATATAAATTTATAATACATGAAACAACATAGACAATGTTAAGAAAAGAAGGTAACATATTTTACCTGCTTTACTGCTTTTTGCTACAAGTGGCAAAAAGTCTTTGGATGTGTAAAACCCCTGGTCTTGTGTCAGGCCTTGGAAGATAGGGTCTCTTTTGGGTTCTGGCAAACCTATTTGATAAAGTTTATAAAATATCATTAGCTATGGCTTTTCCAACTAGATATTAGAATAAATATAAAAATAAAACAGAAATGATTTTTGAAATGATATGGTTCTAATAGAAAAATATCTGTGAGCAATTCACATAAAATGTACATAACACAATCTAACAGACTTTACAGTACATCCTTAATATATAGCTAAGTGCACATTGTAAATCACATTAATATATACATATACAGAGATAAATTTTGTATATACCTAGTATACAATGTTAAAGGAAAAATCAGATTTTATTATTTCCTTATATCATCAGTGAAAATTAAGTTTGAGGTATATTAAAGTGCTAAATATTTTTTTAATTTAAAACAAATACTGAAAAAAAGGATAGATTTCATCTACCTGAATGAATAAGGAAGATCATTCCAAAAAATGGAAGAAAAAATCTCAAAGAAAAATATCTAAAGAAAAAATGCAATTTACCACAAAACTTCAGCCACTTCTATATTTCAAAATATTATAAATTAATTAAAGGGCAAATGATTAAACAGAAAAATATTTTAACAAAAAATGCCTTTACTATACAAAGTTTCTCAACATGAATAATAAACCTATTGACTTTCCAATGAATACATAAAGGATAATGTAATCAGGAGAAGGAAAATGCAGTTTATAAGCAATAAAAATTTAGCCCCATTAGTGAAAAAAGAAATACAAATTTCAGAAAACAAACAATTTTCCTGTTAAAAATATGAAATTTAAGAAAATCTCTACAGTAATGGTAAGAACAGAATTTCTCTCACTCTTTTGGTAGAAATACCCATTGATGTTAAATTTACAAAAATATTTTTAATCTATTCTAAGGAAACACAAAGACATTTAAATACAGGTTTAATGTTCATGGTTTTGCAGCATAGATCAGTTGCATAGCTCAGTTATCTATGCAAAAACAGGAGGATGAGTAAATACCAGAATTTTAACTGAATGAATAAATTTTATTTTCATGAAGAAAAAAGACAACGAAACAAAACACTATCATTAAAATGAACATTTGAAAAATATGATGGCATATTATAGTCAAAATGTGTTAAGTGAATTAGCAAGATAACAAAACTATATATACTATTATTCAAATATTTTTAAAAGATTGGCACAGTATACATAATAATCTGAATACAATTTATTTTTGGAGGTGGGATTATGGATGTTTCATGTTTATTTTCCAACCATTCTATAACATGCATTTATCAGTTATATATTTAGGGAACACTATCAATTTTTTTTTTTTTGGTACTGGGGATCGAACACAGGACCTCATGCTTGCCAGGCAGGTGTGGCGCCACTGAGTTACATCTCTGGCCCATTATCAAAGTTTTAAAGAAAAACTAAATAGCACATTCAAATTATTTCCAAAGAATAAATGACACAAATACTGTAGTAATCACCTCATCCTAGGAAAATGGAGAAATACTTCATTTCAGTTCTATAAATACAAGGAAAACATGTATTATAATTTTATTTACTTTCCCAAACTCAAAACACCAATGGCTCATTATAGAGAAGTAGAATTTATTTTACAATTAAATGTAGTTGCTGATAGCCATATACAGTATTTATTAATCATGGCTGAAGGATGACTTTTGTCACAAAATAAGCTAGGTCTCATATTTGATCTGAAACCTGAAGTTTCTTGCAGTTGTTTGTAAGCAGCAAAAAATGAAACAAAACAAAAACACTAGGCCCCTTCAAATTAAACTGAACATTTTTCTTTCTTGTCCAGCGCCTTCCATATCTCCCTGCCGAAAGATCTGTTCATAGATTATTTTAAGACTTTTGCTTTAAAAATTACATTATCTTGGAAATTTAGGTCAAGTCAATTGATTTGTCTTTGCCTTGGCTTCATACATAAACTGAGCATAAAACTTTCTTTATTTTCTGATGTAAGGGAATATTTCTTAGGGAATATTCCTACTGTAGTAGGAACATAGACACTATTACACACATGTGTAGTGGTTTATATGATTCTTTTAGAAAGCATGTTGAAGTTTTTGGAAATATTGGAATATGTACAGAAGATTCTCTGATGACAATGAAATTTCTCCTGAAAGTTATTAGAAAATTATGTTTACACTACCCTCAATCAATAAAAAATATGTACATATGTGACATAGTAAGATTTAAATAAATATCTAAATTTCCCATCTCCTTGTTCTATATGTTAGAGATGGCATACATTCCATACCACTTCATTTTCATTTTAAAACACTAAAGAAGAAGAAAACTAATCTAAAGTGTCACACAATCTCAAGGTAATGTGATAAACAAATATTGTTTAGCAGATAAAAAATATGTTAGACAAAAGTTTCACAGGCATAAGGCACAAATTCTTCCTTTATCAATCCCCAATCCGTTTACTGTGCACATTCTCCCTGTGTTAACTCATTAGCATTTGTGGCTTCCAGTACCAACCCTTTGCTAATAATTTTCTAATGTGAACCTTTTTACTGCATGTTATGGTTAAGGCAGAGAGGGAGCTTTATATTTCTATATTCTAATTATACCTTTCTCCCCAAATACCTGTTATCTAAAGGAGTACAAGACACACTTATTGAACATAAACACTCTACCAATAAAAATGATTTTTTTCTCCTATAAGAATTGTTTCACAAGAAAAAAATATGCATGGGTAAAATTTAAATTTCTTTCTTTTTTTTCACTTGAATTAAGAGACTGACCAAGACCACTAAGTTTCCTATTCTTTTGCTCCATTCTGCACTTGTCACTATAACGGGTTGATGTTTTCTGGGTCAGAGCCTTTCCTTCAAATGTTTAAGGGGCACTGGACAGATGTTCTGACCTATGGATCTTGACTTTAGAGGAGGATGAAGGAACCAGGAACTGGACAGGGTAATTATGATGAGATCACCCTACAGCCTACTCAGCCACACTGCAGATTCCCAAATAGCTTCCCCCAGGACTGTAAGGAAGCTCTCTTCACAGACTTTCCGGCAGAATTAAGTGATGTGGGGTGACCTGGAGTAGGGTCTTTGTCACCAGACAGACTTTGGAGTGAATCCTTTCTCTACCAATGCTCTATGATCTTACAAAAATTCCTGTGTTGGTTAGTTTTACATGTCAACCTGGCTAAGTTACAGTATCTAGTTATTAAACCAAATACAGGACAGAAGTAGGTATTGCTGTGATGGCTTCCTGTAGGTATAGCTAAAATCTCCCCACCCCCAAAATACATGTAGTTAATCTATAATCAGTTAATTTTAAATAAAGATTCTCTCAGTGATGTGAACAAACCTTGCATCATAAAGGAGTTTAAGAACAAAATGAGTTTCTCTGAAAAGGAAGAAATTCTGTCATAAGACTATATAACATCAACTCCTAATGATAATTTCCACCCTTATAGCCTACCAGATATTATGTGATTTTCATCACAACTAATTTCTTAAATAAATTTATCTACTTAACTATCCATCTATCTATCAAACTTTCTATCCAATCTCCATATATTTTTCCAGAGAAACCTGAAATTGGGTTATTTAAGCTCTCTGCTTTTCTACTTCATTTGTAAAAGACATAATACTTTCTCAGCCAATGTGAGATTTAAAGTTAATCAAAAGATTATATACATGTACATGATGTATACATATATATGCTACATAGATATACACATATGTATGTGACCTATCTCTCACAGATGTCAATAGACAGATATAGAGATGCACACTCACATATATATATATATATATATATATATATATACACATACATAGAGAGAGAGGACATGTAATGAATATCCAATAAACATTCGCTATTAAGATAGGTTGTAATTATTCTGTAATATAAATTCTTTCAAACTTCAATTCTTGTGGAAAGGAAAAATAAAGCTTAAATAGAAGTACAGTACTGAACCTTAAAAATTTAAATAAAGTTATACAAAGAAAGAAAAATGAGGCAACATTAAGAGAAATATGGAATATAATGAAACTTGCAAATATTCTTCTATCACAGAAAGACTTCTCTGAGAGTAGGTGGCATATTAATAAATAAGGTATGTGTCTATACCAGGATGATTTCAAGATGACACTGAAATGACTTTTTAATTCATCTTTCAGTGGGAAGAAGGGAGCTTATGAATAAAAAGGAATTGAGAAAGATTTGTCAAACAAATCTACACTCTACACTGTACATGTAAGGTGTTCTTAACTTTCAAGGTGACCAGGTAGAATATTTCTTTGCCTAGAATAATAACTGAAGTTTTGGTGTTTCATCATGTATTTACACAAAGGAACACCTCCCTTTAATGATTATTGAAAAATGCTAAGTTTTGAGTGCTCTACAAAATGAAAGAGAATTCTGCTTGTTTTACAAAAAATTACTTAACATTTATTGATTACATACACTACTTTAAATGCCTGATATGTAGGGATTTGTATATATTAATTTAGTTGATTTCTCAAAATAGCTATACAACACAATATATTGTTACATACATTTTAGATAGGAGGAAATTCAGACATATAGAAATTAAATAACTCACTGAAGGTCAAAAAACAAGTAAGTGCTAATTTCTAACCTGTATAGTATACCTATTGAGTCTACACTTCAATTTCAAAATGGTGCCTTTTACATGTATCAGAGTATAATTAAGAGTTGCGTTAATGTGATGCTACATGACTGATTATATACAAATTAGTCATTTCACATATATATGTATTTGGTTTCACTATCAATTTATAGATATGATTAGAGTCTAATCTAGCAGTAGAGAAAAGACCGGCTGCTTCTTTTGGTTGCATTTTTGTTTTGTGATTATTTTCTCTAGAAAAATTCGTTTCTGAAATGTTTTCCTTCTTAAGTGCATTCCCCTTTGGGTATCTGCTAGTTATTTTTCAATATTTGATATTCTTTGAAAAATGTAGTCTTGGTTTGTTTCCAAAGCAACTTCCTCTGGAACAACTACAGAATAAATAACAGCAGTGCACATAGTATACTGGCT